TGGCCAAACAGCTCCTGGAGGGCCTGGACTATCCCAGGGAGGCTTCCGCCGCCCCCAGAACTGGGGCGGTCCCCGCCCCCGTCCTCCCCATTCGCCCCCCCCCCCCCTCTCCCCCTCCCTCGCTCCTCCGTGCGTCTCATGTTCTTCCTCTCTGCGCCTTCTCCCTCATTCTCCCTCCCCCCTCTTCTTACTCCTCCTCTTCCTCCTCCCTCCTCCCTCCTCGTCCTCCTTCCTCCTCCTCCTCCTTCTCCTCCTCCTCCTCCATGCGTCTCATCATCCTTCTCTCTCCTTTTTCCTACTCCTTCCGCCTTCTCCCTCCTCCTCCCTCCTCCCCGTCCTCCTCCACCCCCTCCTCATCCTCCTCTTCTTCCTCCTTCATCCCTCCTCTTACTCCTCCCCCCTCCTCCCTCCTCCTCATCCCCTCCTCCGTTCGCTACCTCTCCTCTTGCCTGGTGGCTTCGTCGCCGTGGCTTCTCCTCCCTCCGCCTCCTCCCTCCTGCCCCTCCTCATCCCCATTCCTCGTTGTCCTCTCTCCTGCGTTCTCCTCTCCCACTCCTCCGCCTCCTTCTCCTCCCACCCCCTGCTTGTTTCGGATGGGGGGGTGCAAGTTGCTCAGCTCACTGCAGTTCGTGCCCGTCTCAGGGCCGAGGAGGGGAGGGAGGTCAGAGTTCAGGAACTCAGAATTCGGCCTCCTGCTTTGGGGCTCTGGCGACTCCGAGCACAGTCAACCCGCATAGTAAGGATGAGCAAGTTTCAAAGGTTCCTCTACCATCCTTCCCCATTCGGCCCATCCTTGGCCGCTTTCGCTGGCCGCGCCCCGCTCGCAGAGTGTCGACATGGCCTTCCAAGGCCCTTGCATCCTTATCATGCGTCCTTTTTGCACGGGTTGACTGTAACCCCATGTGTTAGAAAATTGACTGCGGCAGGCTGGGGCTGCATTGCGGAGCAAATTCGGCCCGGCCGGCGGCAAGATTTGCCCTCGCCTGCCTTTGAGGCAGGAGCCACGCCGGTGGAACATTTCCCCACCAAAAAACTCTCAGGAGGGACACATGTGCACGGGCACAAGGAAATGCCGGTGCCCAGCAAAGCATGAGGAACTGTGGGAAGGTGGGAAGTGGAGGGGGGGAACATGAGCATCCAGAGCATGTGCAAGACACGGGGTAATCCTGGGATCGGTGCTTGTGTAGTTATGCCCCCCTGGGCCTCCGAACCCCCCCCTCCTCCTCCTCCTCCTCCTCCTCCTCCTCCTCCTCTCCTCCTCCTCCTCCTCCTCCTCCTCCTCTCCTCCTCCTCCTCCTCCTCCTCCTCTCTCCTCCTCCTCTCCTCCTCCTCTCTCCTCCTCCTCCTCCTCCTCCTCCTCCTCCTCCCTCCTCCTCCTCCTCCTCACCCTCCCCCTCCCCCCTCCCCCTCCCCCTCACCCCTCCCCCTCCCCCTCCCCCTCCCCCCCCTCCCCCTGCCCCCCCCCCTCCTCCTCTCCTCCTCCTCCTCCTCCTCCTCCTCCTCCTCCTCTCCTCTTCCTCCTCCTCCTCCTCCTCCTCCTCCTCCTCCTCCTCCTCCTCCTCCTCCTCCTCCTCCTCCTCCCTCCGCTCCCGCCCCCTCCCCCCTCGCCACGGGAGGCTTCGTCGCCGGCCGCGGCTGGATCCGTCACGGACATCCCAGCCGGGACGGGGCAGCATGAGCGTTGAGTCGGGCCTGTCCCTCTACAGGAGGGGTGTGCAACAAGAGTGACAGGTAGTCACTATTTCGACTATTCGAGTCGTCGTTGTCTCAACTCGCCCTTCTCTGCCTGACGTTGCCCCTGAGCCTCTCCTCCACCCGATACGACCTGCACCAGCCCCGCGCCTGGCGTCAGCCAGACGACCGCGGGCGCAGAGACCAGAACTTCGAGGCGAATCCAATCGCGGCGACGAGACCTCTAAGGAGTGTTCCCTCTACAGAGACGACTTTTCTTCGACTATTTTGACCATGTTTGAGCATTTTGGGAGTATTGCCTATTCTTCTGCCGAAATCCGCCTGTAGGAGGCCACGCCCGACCGAAGATCAGCGTTCAAAGGGGAGGGCGGGCCACTGACACAGGCTTTCGCGGGCCTCCGAATAGCATGTTGCGGCTCCCCTGCTTTTTTCTTAGCGGCCTCCGGGGAGCCACGACTCCGTCCGGCAGCCGCGGCTTCACAGGGGCTTGTCAATGTTCGTCCAGCGGCCTGCAGCCTGCAGCTGAGGCCCCAGGCTGTGGTTTACAACCAGGGTTCGAGGCTCTGCGGGCGAGTCTGGCAGCGACGGAGGAGGAGGCCAAGCTCGAAACGCTTAATAGACGTGTTGCCCCAACGCAGGGGGAACAACAACAACTCTCCAGTGTGTCGTCCCTGGAGCGTCCAACGACTCGCTCCGACGCCGCATGTCTGCTTACGGCGTAAGATACCCTGTAGCTCGCTGCCCCATCAAAGCCACTGACTGCTCGCGGCGGGTCTCACTTCACGGGTCCCGGGCCCGATGAGATTCCAAGGTGTCGAAGTTCAACGCAGACAGAAACACCGCCATTGCAGGGAGGAGGAGGACTAGGAGGAGGAGGAGGAGGAGGAGGAGGAGGAGGAGGAGGAGGAGGAGGAGGAGGAGGAGGAGGATGGGAGGAAGAGGGGGGAGGAGGATGAGGAGGAGGAGGAGGAGGAGGAGGAGGAGGAGGAGAGGAGGAGGAGACGGAGGCGAGAAGGAGGAGGAAGAGGCGGAGGGGGAGACTCCTGCTCCTCCTACCCCTCCGCCTCCTCCTCCTCCTCCTCCTCCTGCTTCTCCTCCTCCTTCTCCTCTTCGACGCCTTCGCGGCGCTGGTAGGGCAGGGCTCCTGATCCATAGCGTGACCCACGAATGCAGGAAATAGGTGGAGAATGCGGAGGAGTGAGGAGGTTGGGAACTGTGGCGAAGAAGTCAGTCAGTAGCAGCAGGAGCAGTAGTAATAGGAGGAAGAGTATGAGTATGAGTATGACCATAAGACGAAGTCTTGATAGTAATAGGAGGGAGGAGGAAGGAGGAGGAGGAGGAGGAGGAGGAGGAGGAGGAGGATGAGGAGGAGGAGGAGGAGGAGGGGGAGGAGGAGGAGGAGGAGGAGGAGTCAGCAGAAGGAGGGGGAGGAGGAGAAGGAGGAGGAGGAGGAAGAGGAGGAGGAAGAGGAGGAGGAGGAGGAGCAGGAGGAGGAGGATGAGCGAGATGAGGAATATTCTGCAAGCGCACACATGCATATCTGGCCGCATTGCGCTGACGTTACTACTGCGCATGCTGGCCGCCTGTACTCTTGCCAGTCGACCAGGACGGGAGATCGCATGACAGCGGCGGCGGTGGAGCTCAAGCTCGGTCTTCTCGGTGGCACTCTTCTTCAATCCGCGGCCCTTCCCGCCCTTGCCCCCTGACTCGTCGCACTCCCTTTGCGACTGCACGTGGCCCAGTCCTATGTCGCGATGGGGCCGTTGCGGCGCGAGCCCTCGCTCCCCCGGGAAAGGGCCCCTGGACCTCTCGCTCCCATCCAACGGACATCCCCAGGAGGAGAAGCAGGAGGAGGAGGAGGAGGACGAGGACGAGGAGGAGGAGGAGGAGGAGGAGAAGGAGGAGGAGGAGGACGCCGACGAAGAGGAGAAGGAGGAGGAGGAGAAGGAGGAGGAGGAGGAAGAGAGGGCGTGTGCGCCGAGGGGCCCCCGGAGTTCTCGCCCACCAGATCACACGGACCAAGTTTTCCCCCCCCGAGCAGATGCTCTCCCAACGGGGTCCGCAGCGGGCCTCCCGAGACCCAGGCTGTCGAGAGACGGGACCGCCGTCCTCCTCCTCCTCCTCCTCCTCCTCCTCCTCCTGGTCCTCCGCCTCCTGTTCCTCCTCCTGTTCCTCCTCCTCCTTCTCCTCCTGTTCCTCCTCCTCGTCCTCCTGCTTCTCCTCCTGTTCCTCCTCCTCCTCCTCCTTCTCCTCCTCCTCCTCCTCCTCCTCCTCCTGCTCCCGTCGCCACAAAAAGATCTGGGCCGAGGAGCGCCCCGCCGGGAGCCCGCTGTCCCCGCCGCGGGTGGGCCGGCGGACCTGCACACCCGGCGCATCGTGCACAGGGACATCTCGGGCACTGCGTGATGGGGGGGCGGATCGTGTGGCATCGCGCGGATGCGAGCTTTCTCATCGGCGAGGACCTTCGGGTGGCATTTGGGGCCATCTTGCTAGAAACATGCACGCACGAAGCCGAAGCATACACGTGGAGTGGAGGTCCGAGCGATGGCCAGATAATTCATGGGCGGGGGGGAGACGTGCAACTCCCGTGCCCCTCTTGGGCCCCAGGGCGTCCCTTTACGGCCCTTCCAGGGCACAACAGGTGCACCTGCCTTCTCCCCCCCCCGTTGTACTGCCCCCCCCATGACGCAGCGCCCGAGCATCAAGCCGGCCAACCTCCTGCTGACCAAGGACGCCGCCGCGGTGAAGATCGGGGACTTCAACAGCGCCAAGCAGATCGGGAGCCTGCCAGAGGTCGGAGAGGAGCAGCCGGCACACGCGCGAGCTCGCGGAAGCCTGCGCGGATCGCCCGGACCCGTGCTGGACCCCCTGGCGGCGCCTCTGGCGCTGCCCCAGGCGCGCTCGGCGCTGCCAGGGAGTGGGTAGGGGGCTCACAGGCGAATCCTACCCCTACCCCCCACGATTTCTGAGGGGGAGGGTGGGGTTCACTTCGCTCGGGAGCTCTCGAACGAAGTGAGCCCCACCCTCCCCCTCAGACATCGTGGGGGGTAGGGGTGTATGGCTCGCCTGTGAGCCCCTAGTGGGGCCCAGCGCCGAGCCGAGCAGTCCGCGCGGAACTCCGGAAGGTGTCTTCGGGGGCCGACGCGTGGCCACCCCTCTCTCCCGCGCACCCTGTGCCGGACCAGCTTGTCTGCTGGGGTGGCGTGCGATCATCGTGCCCCCGGGGGGTGCCATGTTTAGGGGGCCGCATGCGAACCCTAACCCCTACCCCCCACGATTCCTGAGGGGGAGGGTGGGGTTCATTTCGCGCAGGGGTAGGGTAATGTTCGGGCGCAAGCCCCGCTGCACGGCCTTATCCTGAACCAGCTTGTGGGTGGGGATTGTGGGCACAGATCGTATCCCCGTAAGAGGTCGGCGGCATCATGCTGACCAACCGCGGCACCGCTTGCTACAGCGCCCCAGAGATCCACGCCCAGCGCATCTGGAACGAGCGCGTGGACCTGTGGTCATCGAGAATGGAGCAACCCCTAGACCTAGTGTGACAATGAATACGTCTTCGCAATGGGGGTCGTCAATCTGGTTGGGTTGGTTTGAGATAGTACGTCTTCTGAAACGAAACACCCTCTCCCGAATGTCGGGGGACAAGCATGCCATAAACATACACACTGGGAGGCCCGCGCGGATTCCTCGGATCTGCGCTCGGGCCTCTGGAGGTGCCTCCAGCACCGCCCCTGGTCCGCTCCGCGCGCCAGGGATAGGGTCCAGTGCGGATCCTGGAAATCCACGCGGACTTGCGAGTTCTTGGTTGCATGCCACTGCTTGCTCCCCGATACTCTTTTGGGGCCCCTTGGCTCAGGTCCGCTCTCAAAGGGTTTGAGGGGTCCTGCACAGTCAACCCGCATGGCAAGGCTGAGCGAATTTCTAGGGTGGGCCCTGCACCCTTCCACACTCAGCCCATCCTTGGCCGCTTTCGCTGGCCGCGCCCCGCGCGCAGAATGTCGTCATGGCCGCCCAATTCCATCAGACACCTAAGGAACATCAATGATGTTGGCCGTCTCCTTTTTTGCCTTCGATGGCCTTCCGAGGCCTCAAGGTGGCCTCGAGATGTCCCAACGAAGCACCACGACGGCCCCAAGAGGGTCCACGAGCGCTCCAAGACCACTTCAAGAGGGGCCCAGGACACGATTGCGAACGCCTTACGGCCGTTGCCGCCGACCCTGAGAGCGACGAAGATGAAACCGATGGGGGGGGGTGGCAGGGTGGAGGAGGTGGATGAGAGAGGAGGAGGGGGGAGAAGGATGTGGAGGAGAAGCAAGATAAGGAGAATGAGGCAGAGGAGAGCAGGAGAAGGGGGAGCAGAGGGGGGGATGAGGAGGAGGAGGAGGAGGAGGAGGACGAGGAGGAGGAGGAGGAGGAGGAGGAGGCCAGAGGCTTTCTTGGGACAGCCTGTGGCTTTCCTGAGGCTGTCTTGGGCCGTCCAGGGCTCCTCTTGCGCCGTCTCGAGGCACTCTTGGAGGCCTCCTGGGCAATTCGGGGCTCTCCAGGGCTCTCTTGAGGCAGTTTGGGGGCCGCTTGGGAGCCTCTTGGGGCCTCTTGGGGTTTCTTCGGGGCCTCTTGGGGGCCTCTTGGTGCTGAGAGCTTGAAATGTCCGTTCGGGTCCCCCGTCTGGGCACTCTCCTGGAGCCGTCTTGGGGGCCTCTTGGGCCGTCTTGGAGGCGTCTTGGGCCGTCTTGGGGCCCTCGCCGGCCGTTAGGGGACCCTCTTGGGGGCCTCTTGGGCCGTCTCGGGGCGATCTTGAGGGCCTCCTGGGCCGTCTTGGCGCGTCGGGAAGCGGAAGAGGCAAGAACGCCAACATCTATCAAAAACGTATGGGACATCCATGAATGTTGCCTCTTGGGGCTCTCGTGAGAGAACTCCTCGTGGCCTCTTAGGGGCGCTTTGCATGCCTCTTGGGCCGTCTGGAGGCCGTCAAGGCGTCTTGGACAGATCGTTCGGCGATTCGGGGTGCTCTTGGATTGTCTTCTGGGCCTCTCGGGGCACTCGTGGCCCGTCTTGGGGGCTTTTTCGGGCTCCGGGACTCCCAGGGGGGGCGTCGTATCTGACCCCCCCCCGGGGCGTCTGCCCCCACCCCCCCCTCCCAGGACCCCCCCCCCCCGGCGGGGGAGGAATGGAAGGAAAGAGGCTTCCCTTCGACTCGATTAGGACGTTGCTCATTTTCGCTTTGGCTGGCGCGCTGGGAGGTCCCTGGGAGAGGGGGGAGCTTCGACGAGCCCAGGGAAAAGGGGGAGGCAGGGAAAGGGGACGACAGAGACGAAGACCAACGAATGACGGAGATGACGACTTGAGCGGACAAGTCCCTCACACACGCAGACAGGGTCGGCGGATTTTAGGCACTCTAGAGGGGCAAGGCTAATTGATGGTCCCCCTTTCTTCGGCCGCTCTCCTCCAAGATGGCCCCAAGAGCGCCCCTGAGGCTCCCAAGAGCGCATCCACGGACCCCCCGTTGGGGCGTCTTCTTCCGCCGGGGTCCGTGGAAAACTTCCGCCAGCTTCGGCGCCCCCGAGCGGGGCAGCCCAACGTCAGAAGGCATGCCTGCCAAGCGAACGAGGCCCCAGCCCTGTTTTCCAGATTTGGCGCGCCCCCAGTTCCCCCGACGCGCCCTCGCCCACACGCGCCGTCAAGCTGCTACAACACTGCTTCCCCTCCCTCCCATCCTCAACCCAAGGGCGCTGCGCATCATCGTCGTCACCATCGTCTTCTGCTCAAGGGGGGAAAACCACCCAGACTGGACAATTGGCGCTTACTAAACGGCCTTGGGCGTTTACTAAACAGCCCTGCCCTGTTCGATTCCTGCTTTGGGCGCGTTATCGGGGTGGATTATTTGCCCTCTATTTGCCGTTATCGTCACCATCGTCACGCTCGCGATTCGGTAGAACTGCGTTTCGACGAGCGGCTGCCCGAAGATGAGTACACCCAACCTCCGCCTGCTCTTTTCATTCATTCCCCGTGAGCAGGCTTCGAAAAGGTCTCAAGCGACTTCCATGAGGTGCCCACGAAAGGCAAAATCAGACTCCAGTTCGGAATGCTCTTGCGCAGTCTGGTAGCCGTCTGGTGCAACTTTGGGGCCACCTGGGAACCTCCTGAGGACGTCCTGCCATTGTCCCACAACGATGAAGAGCAAGAGGGGCAGGAGGAGGAAGAGGAGAACAAGAGTCCGAGATCATGAAACAAGAAACCTGCCCTTCTCCCGAAGGAGTCCCGGCTGATCTGGGTGCCCCGGGTGCTCTGGGTGCTCCGGGGGCATGCGCGCTCTGGCTGCTCGTGTCCCGGCGATCACAGGTGTCCCGGGTGTTCGGGGTGTTGGCCCGGGTGGTGCTCGGGGTGCTCCGGATGTCCCGTCCCCGGGTGCTCTAGGTGTCCCGGGTGGCCCGCGCGGTCCTCGTGCTCTGGGTGCTCCGGGTGCTCCGGTTGGCGCGGGTGCGGTTCCCCCTCCTTGTCCTCTCGCTCATCCTCCCCCCCCTTACCTTCTCCCCCCTATCCGTCCTCCGTCCTCACCTCACGCCTCGCCTGGTTCCTCCCTCTCAGTCACTGCCCCTCCTTCATTTTCCATTTTCCCCCCTCCTCGTTCTTTCTCCCCACCTGGCTCCTGGCTCCTTTCCTCTTCCTCTTTGTCTTCTCACTCCCGTCACCTCGCTCCTGTCCATTTCCTCCCTTCGCCCGTCTTCTCTCTCCTACCTCCCTCGTCTTCCCTTGTCCCTCGCCTCTCTCCTCAGCCGCGCTGCCATCCCCCAGAACGGTGCGAGGCCAGGCAGCGCGTGCTTCACCCCGCCCGCCCGCCCAGCGCGTCCCAGGCGTCCAGGACGGGGGAGGTTGTCCTCCTCCTCCTCCTCCTCCTCCTCCTCCTCGTCCTCGTCCTCCTCCTCCTCCTCGTCCTCCTCTTCCTCCTCCTCCTCCTCCTCCTCCTCCTCCTCCTCCTCCTCCTCCTCCTCCTCCCCCCTCTTTCTTCTCCTCCTCCTCCTCCCTCTCCTCCTCCTCCTCCCAATCCCTCCCTCCCACGTGTAAAGAATTTGTCCCAGGGTGCCGATGCATCCTTGCCTATTGGGCCGTCCTGGCCCTTTACGTGGCCATGGGGTCAATGGGGTTTCCGACTTCGGCTTCCATTTGGGCGTCCACGGCCTTGTGCATTGGAAGGGTTTGTGCGTGCGTGCGTGTGTGCGTGCGTGCGTGCGTGCCGTGCGTGTGTGTGTGTATATATATATATATGTGCGTGCGTGCGTGCGTGCGTGCGTGCGTGCGTGCGTGCGTGCGTGCGTGCGTATGCGCGCCTTGGCGGACCAGTCGTTCGGCCCGGCCCAGGTGGAGCTGCTATGGGCCTGTCCGCGCTCCGGTCCTTGGCGGGCCTATCCTTCGGCCAGCTCGTGCCGCGCTCTACGTGGAGCCACTCTGGGTATGTTTGCGCCCTGGTCCCTGGCGGGCCCATCGTTCGGCCAGTTGGAGCCGTGCGCTTCGTGGAGCTACGCTGGGCCAGTAACTATGTGGCCTGGTCCCTAGCGGGCCTACCTTTCCGCCGGAATGTGCCGCGCTCTACGTGGAGCTACACTGGGCCGGCGTGTACCCTGGTCCCTGGCGGGCCCACCGTTCGGCCAGTTTGCGCCGCGCTCTACGTGGAGCTACACTCGGCCAGTCTGTGGCCTGGTCCCTAGCGGGCCCATCGTTCGGCCAGTTGCGCTTCGCTCTGCGTGAAGCGCTGGGCCAATGTGTGCCCCGGTCTCTGGAGGGCCCATCGTTCGGCCTAATTGTGCCGCGCTCTACGTGGAGCCTTCTGGGCCAGGGTGTGCCCTGGTCCCTGGTGGGCCCGTTCGGCCAGTTGCGCCGCGCTCTAAGTGATGCTACTCTGGGCCTGTCCGTGCCCTGGTCCTGGGCAGGTCCATTAATAGATTCTTGACGCTTCGCGTATCCCCACCAGCCCATCCTACACCAGGCACTCGAACGAAGAGCGCCGATGATCGGCACTCTTCCTCCTTCTCCTCCGCCTTCTCCTCCTCCTCCCTTCCTCCTCCTCCTCCTCCTCCTCCTCCTCCTCCGCCTCTTCCTCTTCCCTGGTGGCGTCTTGGAGGTATCTTCGAACGTTTTGGTGGGCTCTTGGGCCTCGCGGGCGGGCGGGCGGCGCTCCGCCCGCTCGCGCGCAGGGCGCAGGAGGAGAGTCCGAGACGTCTCTTGAGGCCCTTTTGGAGGACATCGATCGCAGAAGGGGGAAGCATGTTTTAGCGTCGCCCCCCTGGGGGACACGATCCTCGTGAGGGGTGTCGAATTTTAGCCCTCCCAGGGGTCGTTCTTGGACGCTCTAACTACCCGCGGCCCCCCCTGTCCAGGTCAGTGGGGAGGGGGTAGGGGGAGGGGTAAACCCCTCAGGGGAAGAAGGAGGGGTGGAAGAGGAAACGCTCTAAACCACCGACGCCCAGAGGGCTGGTGGGATTGTTCTGTGGGAGTGTGGCACGCCCAGGT